CTTTTAATCCACCCTCTCTTTAATTCTTTGCTCTTACCCTTGGTGGCAAGAGTTCATGCTGAGAAATATTTTCCAAAACAAACTCCCTTCACCCAAAATGATTAATCGTACCTCAGAGTAATGCATTGTGCTCTCAGGGTGCTTATTTAACCTTACCTTTTGAGGAATTTGGAATCATTTTCTAATGACCTGATTCAAAAGCACAGTAAGGAAATTACACAAAGACAAGTTGACACCCCAGAATGTGAGCCATTTACCCTATTAACTAAAAGTAAATTTTTCTGTGTACCAAGGATCTTTACCCTAACATTCAGAAAAACATTTCTGTGTTTGACAGGGTGTGTGTGTCATATTCCCTGTGACCCAAGCTGATCATAAGCTCTAAAGTCACCTTCATCTTATTGTCCCAAGAAACAGTTGCTCCCACAACTATCCTTCATGACTACCTTGAGAGTGCAGCATGCTTATGGCACACTATACATTCATATTGAATGTGACCTATAATGAATGCTTTCTCAAATCTGCCCAATTGTCCTTTTAAAAGCTTCATCTTTGTATCCTTTCAGCCATGGGTCTTGGGCATAGCTATCTGCTTAAGTATATCAGAGATTTCCTTAGCCTGAGTTTTTCAAGACAAAGTATACTCTCACATTGCAAGAGGCACCAGACTGCATAAAATTATATTTCTGCACCACTTACTGAGGGAAGCAGAGATTAACAAATAAACCAGGCTGTGAGAAAAGAGCTTACAATATACCACTACCATCCCTCTTAGACCTGGCTTGCCTGAGTCCCAAGTGAGAGGTCAAAAGAAACTTCATATAAATTTAGGAACCTTGCTTTATTTTGTAGCATTTCATCGGACAGTCTGAAATCTATGTAGATAAGCCATACATCCAACATAGTATTTTAGAAGAGTAGCAAGCGCTGACAGAAGTGTTGTGGTGTGCATTCATGAGGACAATCTCATAGGGACATCGGAAGTTTTTGTGGGGTAAGGAGAATAGCTCACAGTCTTCTTGTCACAAAAGGGTGCCTAAAACACTGAAAGAGGATGCTAATTTAAGTTGGCATCGGGAAAATGCAGTAAGGGGACCTTTATGAAGGTCCAGGCAGGAAAGAAGCCAACTGAGTCAACTGCAGTAGGGTAGGTAGCAGCCAGTAAGGAAAGGAAGTATTAGCAGAAACCAATGTGGAAAAACATTAACTACCTTGAATGAGAAGCTTTTAATCAAGTCAATACATGATTAAATCTTTTCCTTGTGTGTTCATTCATCATATGGTAATAAGGAAAAGGTGAGAGAAATTCTGGACTTTAGACATATATTCAAATAAAAGTGAGTAGAAATTTGCATAAGTGCTGAACTTGCCCTGGAGTGACTAGATAAATTCACTTTCTATTAAGAGTTGAGTGCACTATGCTAAAGTCCAGCAGAAAAATTAAATAATTGTTTTTTACTTCCATAAGCAATATCAGAGAAATATTACCAAACTCGTTGGTTTAGTCAAGGAAAAATTGCTTTTGGAATAGAGAGAGAGATTGATAGATTTTGCCTAATATGAGTATGGGAGCTGACAAGTCCCAAATCAGCAAGGCCAGCAGGATGAAGCCCCAGAAAAAGTTGATGCTGCAGTATTAAGAGCAAAGCAGTCTGGAGGCAGAATTCTCTTTACCCACACACTTCAGTCATTTATCATAAGGCCTTCTAGTGAAGGGTTACCCATTTCTTTCAAATTCTAATTGAAACATTAATTACCTCTGAATAACACTGAATAAGAGACTCAACAGCAACACCAAGGTTTTGGTCAAACACCTACCTGAGTGATAATGCCTAGTTGAGTTGATGCATAAAAGTATCCATCATACTCAACATAAGGAAGAAGACATTTCAAATAATTATGTGTGAAGAACTTTTGTCCCCAGGAAATATCCTAACATTTGTTTTATATGACATAGTCCATCAGTTTCTGCAAGGTAGTATTATGGCAAAGATCAAACCAGACCTTTTGAGGATGTACCCTCTGGTAATGAAGAAAGCTGTGACTTGCATGACCTTTTAGAAGAGCCTGGGCCAGTAGCTGCTTGGGAGTGACATTTTTTCCTCTCATAGTCTTACAAAGTGGATGGACTCATGTTAATGTTAACAGGAATGCCTCAGGCGCTGTTCCCTGAGCACACAAGCCACCAACTTTATGGCATTCCTTGTGTAAAGTGTTAGACATGAAAGGTGGCAAGGGACACCTTCACACGCCTTCAGGAATCCCTGCTTTCATGAAGCTCAAACCCCAAGCAGTAATTTTCACCCCTGGATGCACTTAGAATCATCTGAAGTCCTTAAAAAAAACAATGTGTGGCCCTCACATCCAGTTACTCTGATTTAGTCAAACTCTTTATTTATCAACCAGAGTATGAGATGGTTTCTTATGTAGTTTTTTCATAGGAAACTAGTAATATATGAGCCAAAATTTACTATAGTAGATTGTAGGGGTGGGGATGGGGATGTAGCTTAGTGGTAAAAGCAATTGCTTACCATGTGTGAAGCCCTGGCTTCAATCTCTAGCATGGACCAAAAAATAGATTGGAACGAGTACTACCACAGTACATAGATGTCAGGGAGAAGAGCCTGTGGAAATAGGGAGAAGAGAGTCACTAAGTCTGCTTATGGGAACTGAGACCACTTCACAGAGAGAACTGAGTTTTTAAATGTCTCCAGACCTCACAGAAATATTGGGACTAATAATAACAACAACCAGAGGGCAATCATACAGTTTTGAAATGGTTATACACATTCCTTTATCCCTTGAAAATTAAGTGAGAATTAAATAAACAATTAGAGATATGGTTTAATTCCTCATTATTCTCTTAGTCAATCTCATTACCACTTTTATTCCCCTAGAATTAAGCATTAACTTGAATTTCTTGTACCTATCTCCAACTTATACTTTGTACTTTTTGTTCATATATATGTATTCATGAAGTGCTTATATATCAACTTTTCTTAATTTTCATAAAGATATAATTGAAAAAATTTAAGAATTCATGGTGTACAATGTGGCATTTTGAATATGTATATATTGACAAATGACTAACAATATAAAGGTAATTAACATATTTATCACCTCTCATAGTTATCTTTTGTTTTTTGATTGAAAACATTAAGACCCACTCTTTAAGAAAATTAAAAATTTACAGTATATTGTTACTATCTATAGCCATCATGCTGTATGATAGATTTCCAAAAATGATTAAGGAATTTTGTGTGGCTTTCAGTGAAGCCATATTTTGTTTTGCTCCTTATCCTGTCTTCATTAAACAAGATTATTTTTTCAGATTTTTGAGAAGCATTCATGCTTAGACATATGTCTACAATTCATTAATTTTTAAGGTTGAACAATATTATATTCTGTGAGTACATTACAACTTAATTATTCATTCCCAGATTGATAGAGGGTTTAGATTTTTGCAGATTTGTCTTATTACATAGTTACTGTGACCTTCCTGCTACTTGTCTCAAAGTACATATGTGCAAGTGTTTCTCTCGGAAGTCTTTCCTTTATGTGGTCTGCAGACTCAAGTAACCTGGGAAACATGAAGAACACATATACATTTCTGTTTCCATATCAATGGAATAGTTCATGCTAAGCCAATGTTTTCACAGTGAAAAAATAGAAAAGCCAGCTAAATTACTAAAATCCAGTTTTGAATCACGTAGAAACTAAAAAAGTCATGGGAACTAAGGAAAAAATTTCCAGAAAATAGTTCCTTGTGAATCAATAAACCAGGGCAGCTTTGTTGGTCACAGGAAAATGGAGTGACAAATTTGAAGTACTAGGGGAACTCAAACACACAACCAAAGGATTTTTCAATACACTTGATCATTTCCAACAATGCAATAGAAGGAGGCTGAGCAATTAGATGGATATACTTCTGTAAAAGAGATTAAAATTCTTCACACCTCTCAAGTTTTAAAAGACAAAACTCCCAGGATGAATTCAATCATTATGTAGTGCAAGCATGTACTAAAAAATAAACATTTAAAAATACTGAATTCAGGCGACAGGGTATTGAAAATCTTGAAGAGAATGATGACTTTGCTACAGATTTCCCTGGGGAAGTTTGCCCATAAAACTGCACCCAGATGTTGAGAATCTAGGTGTTACCCCAGAGGATATCTATGGAAGCTCATTATATATACATCTAGCAGTTCCACCCCTGCATTTATAACCATCAGCAGGTATTTCTGAGAATTTTTTTCACCAAAAGACCTGCTCAGGGAAGCATTACTTATAATAGCCTACTAACTGAACATACCAAAATATGTATCAACATTAGAACAGATAGATAAAATGCGGTTAGAATTTTGATACAACAATCACACAACAAGCAATAAGACTGAAAAAATCATAACTACTCAGCACCTAGTGCTGAAAAGAAAGAACAAAACAAAGAGTCAGACACCTAAAATATAACATATATGATTCAATTTGCCTAAAGATAAAAACCGTGGAGAACTTGTGGTGTTGAGTCAGGAGAGCGTCTGTTACACTTTAGGGGTAGTAAATATGAGGCATGTGAAGGTTTCTGGAGTGCAGATAATTTTGCCTTTTGCATTTTGGATGCGAATTACAGAGATATGTTAATTTTGTCAAAATTTACTGAGCTAAATACTCAGGGCTTACGTTCCTTTTGTATCTACTGCAAGAAAAATAAAAATTTAAGACACAACAAAACAAACAAAGAGGCCTCGCCTCCAGTGATTTGGATCTATTAGTCTTTTGTGGGTGCATTTAGCTACCAGCACTTTTCATAGATTCATTAAATAATCTTTTTTCACCCTCAGCATTGATTTTTTTTTCTGATTTCTGCCTATTTTTCTCTTGGTCGGTGTGCCATTTTTGTATTATTTGTACAGTCATTTATTATAGGAGTAATTGTGTGTCTTTTGTACTAATTTCAAAAGTCTTATTCTTATGCTTGTCTTCCAACTTAAATTGTATTTATTTATCAAAAGGTTTTATTCAGGAGATCACGTTTTACAGTTCTCTGATATGATAGTTCTCTGATATGAGCTTTGAATATTGTTAGTATACAAATATTTTTCCCTATTCACCATTTCATAAAATATCTTACATTGCAAATGTTGTTAAAGTTTTCCTTTTACATTTGACTCTCTAATCCATCTAGGATTTATTCTATTGTACAGCAAAAGTGAAGGTTTTAGTATTTTCTCCACATGGCATGTCCATTGTCTGACTAATATTTCCCTCATCATTTCCTCTCATAATTTTAACTCTATCATGTACCAAATTTCCATTTATGTTTGTGTTTGTCTTGAGATTGCTGTTCTCATTGACTGGGTTATGTGTATATTAAAATATCACTTTTTTAGTCTACATGATTTTATCATATTTCCTCCAACACGCAAGCATCAACTTATTCTTTCTCCAAATTTTATTGGCTATTCATAGATTATTACCCCTTACATACAAATTTTGATGTCAATTTTACTAAATCTATAAGAATTCCTATTGAGAGTTTAAATGAAATTGTACTGTTTCTAGATTGATTTTGAGAGAAATTACACTTTTATGATACCAATATTCTAAACCAAAATAAATAAGAAAAGCTTATAAATTAGCAAGATGGAAACATTTTGGCAAAGTGTGCTTGTACAAGGGAGTTCATTTCACTCTTGCTCTGCTGTTCTAAGTTTATTAGGCCACAGAAGTTATATCCCTAAGCATAAGATCTCAGTCTGTGGGTTAGCCCTGTAGTGGGAGAACCTATCAATGAAAATTCTGGCACGAATACAGAGAATCATTCTGATGAGGTGGAAGAAAGAAGGTTGAAAACTTCAAATCTAAGCCACAACGTTTGTATAATTCTATGTTTTGTGATACTATCATTGGAATATAAAGCCATGCCCTGCATCTCCACTTTTTCCCAGAGAGCAAAAGCAGACATTTGTCATCTGAGTCACCTTTCCTGGAGCTAAACAATTGCTGGAAGCCTGAGGAATATACTAAGGTAGAGCTTCCCTGTGTTTTGGATAATAATGAAACCCTCATTGACTATCTGAGTGCTTAGTCATAGGATTACGCTCTTCCACATCCAGTTCTTCCAGGATTCAATGTTCGCCCTTTCACAAGGGAAAACAAGTCCAAGTCCACATCAACTACCTGCACTATATCATTTATTTATTTCCCGCTATAATATATACATGCAACTTCCCAGTGACCTCTTTCCCAGCTATATTTCTGTTGGGTCCACAACTTTCCCTAGATAGAGAATGCTTCTGGTGTTTTTCTCCAAAATCATCAACAGAAAAGTTCTATCAAATCGGATAACAGGATGAAGGAGGGTGCTTTCAGATTGATCCATGAATTTGACTTCAGAGACAGTGTCATCTGATCCCTTTTCATCAATGTTCAGCACAGCCTTATGGGCAGCCTGTAGGGAGAAAACAAACACTATTGATTCCCTGAAGAAATAGCAGTTTTAGCAACGGTTTGGGAACAGGAGAGAAAAAGAAATTTTGAGTTATGTTAATGCTGCTTAAATATGAAGACTATTTGGCTAAGTCTAGTTATAAACTTCTATGGTTTCAGGGCTAGTTTTAGGGAAGTAGCTCATTCTCCATGGCCTTTTGCTTCCAGGAGTGACATTTTAAATGCCCCCTTTTTCCAAGACTTAAAGTCAACAGAGTTATTTCTGATGATGAAGCTTTTCCATTAGAATCATTTTAGAATGTGAAGGGCAAGGGTGGAAGGAATTCTACAATGACTCATTCAGAGTCATGGCAATGACACTGGTGAGACTGTGGCTCAGGAGGAGTCAGATTCCCTCTCTGGGATTTCATCATTAGTAAAATGAGAGAGGTGAATTAATTATCTCTAACTGGATCTTTTAACTTGTAAAGTCAAGAACCCTAATCTAACAACTTACATAGGAAAGTTTTAGACCGATGTCCTCTGTGAGTCCAGAAAAGTCAGCATTGTCAGCAAAGGCATCTTCAATACCCATCTTTACAAGCATGTTTCTAAGATCGTATGTGGCAGAAATGGAAAATTTTGGAACATAAAGATTAACCCACCTGTAGGAAACAAGGCAAGACATGGTGATCATCATACTAAACTCATGTTTCCATCCTTCTGTCTCTCTCTCATCATAGCATTTTATTTGACTCTGCTCCTCTCCTGAATATGGATAATCATTGCTATGTAGGCCAACACATGTTACAAAAACCACAGAAGTTATTCTGTAAGGAATGCACTCTGGTTCAGCCAGTTTGGGCTGTAACACTGAGAGTATGGGCATGTAACTCCTTTATTATCAAAAAGAAACATCCTTGTGGTTCTGCCATGGGTAGGAAGACAGTGGCAAGGAGGTCAATGAGTACCAATGCCACTCCCAGGAGAGAATAACCGGCTACCCAACTCTTAACATCAAAGTCCCCAAAATTCTAGCTGATCGCTAGAAAGGCTTCAATTTATTAGCAGTATAACTTCTGAGAGCTCATTTTATATTTCTAGGCCTGACTTTCTAATTTGACAATATTCCGATGGTTCCATATAATTTTCAGGTTTGTTGATGTTCTTAGACAAAAGGTGATAAGTAAGTTCTAGAGCAAAGGTCCTGGGATATGGTAGGTACTTTGTATACTCTAACAATAGTTATACAGCTGTTAGGCAGTTTAGGGAGATTCTCCTGCCTCTGAGTTTCTGCTGAACTCAACCCCACCCACACTGGCATGACTGCCTCTATCCTTCACATCCTCTAAGTTATTTACCCCTTCTGCAGTAAGTGGTTCCATTTCTTCAGTGTTCTGGATGACATAGACACTTCCACCCATTCCATCTGTCCCTTCTTGGGAAGGACAAAGAGTGCCAGAGCATTTCTGCTGTAGTCCATTTGCAGCACTGTGCAGTTCAGGTCCATATCCACCAAGTAATGGAACTGCTCTACCCGATGCATCATGGGAACTTTCACTGTGATGCTCTTATCCACTGAGTAGCTGGAGCTGTCTTCTGTCTGAGATGGATGAAAAGGATTTGCCCACTGTGCTTAAAATACAAATAGAATAGCGTTGCTTCTTTAAAACCAGTATTAGGACCAGTGACAGTGTTTTTCTCCATTAATTACCTCCTCTAGCAATTAAGACTACCACAGAGGCATCTACTCTCAACCAGTTTTACAAATGAATAACTGAAGATCCAGGAAATACAGTCACTTGATAGGTCTGCCAGCTAGCAGGTGGCAGAGTCAGGGGCCACATTCAGAGCTGGTGAACTCCAGTCTGTGCTCAGAGCCGCAATAGTTACACTCAACTAACCAGAGGCAGTTTCTTCTCCCATAACAAATTTTATGAGCACATCCAAGACATAGAGCAAAATTAAAAAACAAATCTCTTCTGCCATTTCTCTGCCAAATGTGACTGATATGTGCTACAGAACTAAGAGAAATGATTTGGGCAGAGCACCGTCAGAAGGGTCACATGATACTTATTTTTACAAACACCATCTTTACAGCTGACTGAGAACACTGGCTTTCCAACTGATGAATTGCGTGAATTTGGGTACTTGTGAGGACTGGAAGAGACAATGACTGTAAACTACACATGTATCATAGTGTTTGGTACATAGTGGGTACTTAATGCATGTTAAAAACACTGAGGTAGCATGCCCAAATATTCACAAGTGATAGTTAAGCAGTGCTTAGGTATAAATCTGTCTTTTTTTCAAGTACAAATTTGTCTTACCACAATAAATATTTTGGAATCTATAATTCTCAAATATGAGCAGGATTTTCACACCACTGTTACACACATCTCTCTCTCACTGAAAGGATGCTCTCCCTGGAAATTACCTGGACTCATTCACCGAGCCATGTGTCCTTCCTGGATTATGCAATATTATGCTCAGCTATGTCCAATGGAGTAGATCACTGTGATATGAGGGAAGTCTATGGATGGTAATAAGAGACCATGAGCCCTACTATCAGAACTCTACTAAAGCATCTGAAGGCTAGACTTGAAGCTGATATCTTGGAGCCTTACCTTTAAAGTGAATATAGTTCACCAGGACCATGATGCTATTCAGTTTAAGGTCTTGGATTAGGTTCACAATTTTCCCTTTGGTTTGCTTCTCCACCTGACAGTTGATCACTTCTTGGGCTGCAGAAATGTTGGTGAAGTTGGTAGAAAAGACATTAGTCTCATACAGGGTCTTGACACCATCCAAGAACTTTGGCAATGGTTTCAGCTGCTTCCCAATGAAGAGGACATTCCCCATGTGCAATTCCACTTCTTTCTTTGGAGAATTCAGTGAACAGATCAGGTGCTGGAAGTCCTGCTGAATCTCTGCCACTGAAGTGTCTGTGAGGTTGAACCCTAAGACTTCCAGGATCTGAGTTTGGGTGCCGGAGCCAGCTCCAAAGGAAAGCATGGCCAAAGCTGCAGAAATACTCACAGGGGAAAAAAAGATGTTCCGATCTGGGGTCTCCACAGTGAACTTCCGGTACAGGTTGAATGCAAAGTCAGCATTGATAGATGACAGCTTATAGAGAGAGTCATTTTGTTGAGGCACATAGCATGCAGTTACTTTGCCTGCAAAGCTTCTGGGTGGTGCACCATTGGTTGTAGCATAAAGCCCAAGTAAAAAGGGAATCAGATAGAGGAAGTGTGACATTCCGCAAGGAAGGTAATCTATAAGAGATGAAGTGAGAAAATTAGGATATCAAATTAGGACAGCTTAGTTGAATAAAATACTCTCTGATTCATACAAATAAAAATCACCCATCTTGATCAGTAAAACAATAACAAATGTTTGATGCAGTGCTCATTATGGAATGGGTGAAAGTTTTATTTCCCTAAAGAAAATGATGCCACATCTATTGGGAGCAAGAACTGGGAGAAATGGGTTGTCAAAGCGACAGAAATAATGTCTTGGACTCTCATTATGATATAAAACCAACAAATAGGAATACTGTGAGTAAATTCAATTTATGGAAATTAAATCCCTTTTTATTTTAACTAGATACAACCTTTTGATAAAAGAAGAATATTTACTCAGAACTATCCTTATGGTTACATTATCACACGGAGGGTAGGATTTTTGAGTGTGTAGGGGGGTGGGTGTGGGTTTGGGTATTAATTTGGCCCTTTCTTCAGATAACATCTCTGACATAAAAGGAGAGAACATCTGTACTTTCTTTAAGTAAAAGATAAAGTGAGAAAACTCTGTGTAAGATATTCAGAGTTGGTATGGGAGGACAGTGCTTTACAAAGCCATGTCCAAAGTCATGAGCTGAAATCTGTACATTTTAAAAAGGCATGGAAGCCACAAGAGTGCTTGCAGAGTATAAGAAAATGAGAGCATATCATTATGTGCTTTGCATATCTTACCATCAGCATCACAATGATTTCTGAATTGTAAATCATCTGAACACTATTCTTACTCCCATGCATGTTATTTTTTAAATATTAGAGAAGCCTAACAGACATGATATAAGCTTTTTTGACTCTGGAAGAATACAAGGAAGCAGAGTAAGGACGTCAGCTGTGGAATCACCATTGACCATGGACAAGTGGTTAGAAAGAAAACAAGCATGAAGGCAGGGCAAGGGTCTCTCCTCAAGCCTCCATCTTCTTTTTAGTGATCTCATCCTTGAGATTCAACTCCTGCCTCACAAAACTCTTTCTTGCTAGTCCCTGTTGCTCTCCTGAGTTCTTCACTGTTATTGTTTTTTTCAAAAACTGGGGATTGAACCCAGGATCTTTGAACTGAGCAATATCTCCCCTATGTATTTATTTATTTATTTAAAGACAAGGTCTACCAAAGTAACTAAGTTTCCCAGGCCGGGCTCAAGTGTGCAATCTTCCTGCCTCAGTCTCCTGGAGTACTATCAGTGTAGATATGCTGCACAACCTCCAACTTTTCTTGGTTTTTATCCATCTACTCAGCTGCCTAATGGATACATCCATGAGGAAGGACCACCTATGCCAAAGGGTCAAGTTGAAAATTGCAAAGTTTAAACATAAATACAACATTTTACCACCTCTCAGCCCTGTTCTCTCTACTTCATTCAGTACTCTGGGTATTTTAGCACTGTCTGTGGAGAATTCCAGGCCAGAAAACTAGGAGTTATCCTAAGGGCTTCCTTCATTTTCACTTACCACTTCTAATGAATCATCAGGCCCAGTGAATACTATCTGAATATTTCTAAAAACTTCACTATTCTATTCTTAGTTCATGGCCAAAATCACTGTATCAGCTCCTAGCACGTCATGTCTCCTACTTTCTCCATTCCATTCTCCCTTCTTTCACCACTGCATTCAGTCTCCTTATTGTCACCTAGGTCCTCTTTCTGTAAAAGTCATCAAGGCTAGTTAGCGGTTGACCATAATTATCAGATGACCACACTTAGAACTTGGCCTCTGTACCTAAGAACTTGGAGCTCACAATTATATGGGATTTTGGCTTGCTGATACAGAGGTTCAAAGTTCCCAAAGAGACAAAAAGTACTTACAGCACATGCCCAAGAAGCCACTTGCATCTCTCAGAAAGCAACACCTTTTTGTCTTTATAACATGCCCTCTATTGCAAAATCAGAGCACCCTTAGTTACAAATTAACCTTCACATGAACCCTGGGATGATGTTTTCAAAGCTGATACAGAGAACCAAGGCCAAAAAAAAAAAAAAAAAAAAAAAAAAAAAAAAAAAAAGTTTGAACTTTAGGTGACTACTTTGGCTGATATATCGTGCATCAAAAACAAAAGAGAAAGACGACTGTCAGAGTTGGTGATGTGCAGGTTTGTCCTAGAAAAAAGTGTCTTGAACACACAGAATGACAGCGATGAGTAAAAGTGAAGAAAAGTGGCAGGAGCAATACAGTTATCACCATCAGAGCCGTACAGTGCTGTGGTTTGGCAGCCTTTGAGGGAAAGCTGAACACAGAAAACAGATGAGTCTCCCTTATGGGTTATACAAAGGTGATTCATGCACTGGTGAGGGACATGGTGCCAGATCTTTTAGTCACATTTCTCGCCTAGCTGAGACAAAACACCTAACACTCAAAGTTAAAGGGGGAAATGTTTACTTAGCTCACAGTCTGTGGAGGTTTCAGACCATAATCAGCTGGCTTGAAGGCAGGGTGGTGTGGCAGACAGGCATCACAGAGGAGAAACAGTTCATGGCGGGTAGAAGGTAGCAAAAACAACAAAGAAAAAGACAAGCCTCTTTCTGTCTCTTATACTGTATCCAGGTCACCAGAATTAGGGCAGCGCCAAACCAATCAGTGGACTGCTTTAGTAATCACCTACTCTTAACCCAGCACCCTTAATTTTAGCATGACACTATGACTCAATCCCACACTCTAGATTCAGCCACAGAAGAAAAAGCCCCACCTATGACTGCATGCAGCTTTAAGGGGACATCTAAACATAAGCCGTGACAAAAAGGTAGTTTCTAACCCTGGGATCATGACACTTGACACATTTATATCTCCCCACAAGGAAATCCTACTTTGTGCACTGGTTCCTAAAATCTCCTCTACCCTCCTCTGGCCAGTGGATCTTATAAGAGGGTGAAGAAAAAGCCCAGGAAGGTGGAATACAATATTGTACTACCCAGGATCAACTATCTATTGACTATGTGCAGAAAAGCAGCAGGAGCAAAGAACACTGGGCTCAATCAGTATCTAGATTTAGTGGTGTGTACTAGTAGCAGCACTAGTACTAGTAATAGCAAAACAGCAACTTAGGCTAATTGAGTATAGCAAGACATGACCTCAGGCATCTGATTTGAGACACTGTGAGTTTCAGGACTACAATAAGGAAATACACATTATGTGGGGAGGGGGTACAGGGAAAAAAACCCAGTTTGACTTAAGCCTTAGTGCAGTCTGTTGTGGAACTTGGATGCAGGACAAATACTGCAGAATTTACACTGAGGCCATTGAGAAACCACTTGTGTCATTTTGCCAATACAGTGACCACGGGGGTGGGGGGACTGTATTGTGCCAATATTCCTTCTCAACCAAACATAGACTGAGCTCCTGCTGTGAGGGAAATACCACATTCTTCACTGAAACTTCAGAGGTGAATGCTAAGTATCAGTCCTGGAAGCAAGGGATCTTTCTAACTACTTAGCACCCACAATCCAAGTCAAATAGGATCGGGCATGTCTCACATATGGGATAGTTATGGGTGTATGGGTTGCACAGAAAGGCAGTGGCAAGCTCAGATCTCTCGACTATGAGGTCAGTTCGTACTTAGTCCCGGTAGTACAACATATCGCCTGTTCTCCAAGCTATAGCAAGGCCCTGTTGAAGTAGCAGGAAAAAATGTCTAAAATGAAAACTTCCAAACCTGTGCCCTCTGGTGGCATAGTCAGACAATGGCATGGGTTGTTATCTGCTGCTTCTGTCTCACCTGAACTTTGCTAGAAACTAGTAACTACTACAAGGCCTATGAGAAAGGCACCCTTCCCCTTGTAGCTCCCTTTGCGCTATGCAATGGAATCAGAAGCACTGCACCCATACTCCGGTCATGTCTGTGCTACATAGTAAATGTGTAATTTGAGGTGAACTACTTTTACCCATAAACTTCAATTTCCTCACTTCTAGATTAGAAATGATAATAATCCCTATATTTGTGTTTTTCTCTCAAGTGAAATTTGAAGGCATATAGTAGTCTGTTTTATGTGAGTACAACAAAATTCCCAAGTCTAGATAACTTTCTAAGGAAAAGAGGCTTATTTAGTTGACAGTTCTAGAGGTTTGAAAGCATAGTACCAGCATGATTTTAGCTCCAGCAAAGACCTTATGGAAGATGTTTCTTCAGTACACAACCACTTTTCCACTTGACTTGCCTGGATGCTTGATGCTGAGCCCTAATCTGGTGAAAACTAGTGGGATGTTATTTTATCTATAGGTCTAGAGAAAATAAAGGTTGTGGAATTGTAAAAGTAGAACAATTGCCTTCTTGTAATTTGTATCTCACAGAAAAATAAATTCCTGAGTCTTTTTAAAAAGAAGAAAAAGCCTTATCAGGCTAAGAGAAAGATTGTGTCTGCTGTAGAGGGAAGCAGAGCGGGGATTTGGTATTGAAGTTCTTTTAATTCTTTTAATTTTATTATTCATGAGTTTTTAGTATTTTTTTATTTCACAGACTAGCTTTGATAAAAGTGACCTATCAATGCTCAGAAATCAACCAGTAGTTGGTTAATCACAGAATCAAATGCAGAATAAACAGTTTGGCTAACGTAGCACTCCAGTTGTATTTAAAGAATTCTGTTTTCACATTGTGTAGTTTTAGTATATTCCTTGAGCACTTGAGCCAAAAAACTCAGGCTATTGAGTCTATCGGTCTTTTTCAAAGCTTTCTAGTGTCATCAAAGTTTTCTACTTTATCACACAACATTTGAAATCCTTATATCTTTCATATTTTTATGGAAACAAGTAGATACTACAATGCTATGTTTTCCAAAGGATGTCCATTTCAAAGAGCCATTTAAAAATTCCTCTGCCATTTCATTCCATGAACTGCTATATTCTCCTTCAAGAGCACAGATGGGGTTTGAATAGCCTTTCGGCTTTCCTAGGAAAGTAACAGAACCAGTTACTTGACAGCACTTTACAGGGTTAGGCCATAATGTCTGTGATGTGGTATATAATCTAAATCAGTGTGCAGAATCTGGTGCTATTTCTCGCATGGTCTAGATTCACAGATACTGTGGGAATCCAGCACTGACAATGCATGGTTTCTTTCACTATTTCCCTGAGTCACTAGGAAAATGCTTCATTCCGAACTCTGTGACCTAGATCCTGTTGGTTCAAAGGTCTTAATTCAAATGATTTAACGCTTCTAGTACAGATTGTAGCAAAAGTTTCAGTACACTTGTACTTGAGATTGCCACTTGACACTTTGGAATCCCACACAATAAATAAGACAACACATGAAACTATAGCAGTGTTAGACTGATAAATACTGAATACTAAGAAGATATTTCATTGTTATACCAACTGAGATTCTGTACTGCCAATGTTCCTCAGGGATGCCACTTAATAATCCCACAACCTAACGCTATAGACAATGGAGAATTATAGCAACTTATACAAGCAGGAGTGCCAATGGCTAACACTACAGAAATAAAGATCATGTCACCTAACCAGGTGGAGAAACTTCACCAGCTAATGTGACTGTTGAGGGCAAAAGGAGTATGTAATGTGTTAGTAAAAGGTAGTTAGGAGCAGGTAGTTAAAACACAAATTATCACTATAAGAATTTTTGAAAAATCCAGAACTGTAACAATTATGAATATTATTCCTGTTAATAGCAATATATTAATATTAACATTAACTAATTCCTTCTACTTTTCTATTTCCACATTCATTTCTATTTACATAGACTGTGTCAATTCTATTTAATTTGGTATGTGTATTAGTTTTTCATTGCTGGGAGAAAATACTTGACATGGATAAATGAAAGGAGAAAGAGTTTATTTTGGTTGGCTCAAAGTTTCTGTCCATGATTGGCTGGATCTGCTGAAGAAACATTACAGCAGAGGATGTGGTAAGAGGGAGAATGCTCACCTAATTCCATGGTGGTTGGGATGTACATATGAGGAAAGGGACCAGGGAAAAAGGGGCTAGAGACTAGATATACTTTCAAGGTCACGCCTGTACAAACCACTAGACACATCTAAAAATGCCTTTTACTAATCTAGATATATTTTAAGCTAATCAAAGTGACAATCAAGACTAATGGTCACAAGTATGACAGTATGCAAGTTGAAGGATATCAAGACTGTGAGGAAGAATGACCATTACACAAAGAAAGATGAAAGGACACCTTAGTTCATTTAGGCTTCCACAAGAATAGATCATAAACCAGGTGACTTTTAAACAAAAGACATTTATTTTTCAAATTTCTGGAACCTTGGAAAGCCAAAATCAAGCTGGTAGAGGATTTAACCTGATGAAGGAATGCTTTCTGGTTCATATGTGGTGCCTTTTCTGTATATCCTCCTGGTGGAAGGGGTTAACCATAATCCCCAGGCCTCCTGTAGAAGGTTATTAATATCATTCATGAAAACTATGCCCTCATGAACTAGCTATAGATAAAAAGACTCACTTATTAGTAAATTAGCATTTAAGACTTCAATATAAGATTTGGGGAGAACAAAACTCTGACCATAGCAGGGACTTTGGGTCCTCATTTGTGGAGAGGTTTAACATGTTTTCAGTTGCATCATAACAGGTGAAACAATGATTTTGTCCTTTTCTTTACTTAGATTGAACATGCATTGAAGCCCTGCATATCAGGGTCATGGAACAAGGCTAGACTTCTAGAGCTGTGCAACTTTTCAGTTTGTAGTTGAGCTAAGTCCAACTCAACTGTATTTTCCAGAAATCTATTTTTATAAGTTTCCAGTTAAGGTTGATCATAACAAAAATTTGCCTAAAATGTGAAAAGGAGAAATGAAATAGTAGCCACGCTTTTAGTCTTTGAAGGACAATATTGATCAGGAACTCTGCTGTGGATGAACATTGTCCTTATTCATGTGCTG